GCTCCATGCAGGTGTTTTGTCTATGAGAAGGCAAATGAGGATGAGGAGAAGATCAGTCAGGAGGCAGAAAATGAAATGCCATAGACAAAAATAGCCTCTTTATTCCCAGCTGTAGCCTCAATTCTACTTGCACAGCTTGTATGAGAGCAAAAGAAAACAAAAAGCATGTTAGTGATGCTGGATTTTTCCCCCCCGTACAAAACCAGAGGACTGATGGCTTCCTTAACATTTACAACAAATAATATCACGAATTTTAGGCTTTCTTTGTAAATGTAATCTCAGATATAAATCAGGAAAGGGAACAACAGCAGAACAACACGCTGTATCCAGGGAGAAGCAGCAATAGACAAATGATGTAAAAGCTTCTGTTGAGGATGTCTTTGGGTTGACAGTATGACTTTGTTCCAGGACTTCTGGGTGATTGTTTGTGTGTTCTCACAAATTTTGTGCTTTGGTTTGACTTAGTATTACTCTTTGAAGGTCCCAAGTCCTTGGCTCTTGCTCTTAGAGCATCTAGGCTTGAGAAATGAGAAAATTGCGCAGCCTGTCTTGCTAGCACACGGGAAAGGTGAACGCATCTGCACGGAGAACTCTGCTAAGTGCTCACATATCCCAGAGTCTTTCACAGATCATGACTGGAGGAGGTGTTGTCAGGCTATATAATCGTTTTATAGCACTGTTGGGGAAATGCAACAAAGCAGGATTACTAATGCAGTGTTTTTAGGGCCAGCAATTAAAACATTTCTGACCATTTCCAATGTGACGCAAAGAGAAACCTCAAAGAAAAAAGTGCTAGAGGTAGATGGTGGAGGTGAATTAAAACAAGACTCAATTTGCTGATTCTAAATTATATTTGATGACTCCTGTTAGAAAAAGTTCACACACTGAATACATTTATTTATTTTGGTTATTGTTTTTATTTAAATGTTGCTTATCTTGTCAAAAAGCATTATTGCTCACACTATTCATACTGAGACCTTCAACAGCCACATCAAGCACTGTACATGAAATTTATATTTCCTGTTACTTTCACCAGATTTGGATATAAAGATTGCTGTCTTTTAATGTGCTTTAAATAACAAAGTAGCATGTTGTTAATCACAGGTTTAACAAAATGGTAATCCATCCAACTTTAAATAGGTTCGTTCCTTTATCAAAGTTTGTCAAATGAGCCAAAGCCTTTGGTGCTTATGGAGAAAAATCTGATTCAGCATTCCAGTATAAGTGTAACTCAATAAAATAAAATATGCTTAATGCAATATGATACGTTTGACAGCATAATATTTTACGATTATTTAACCAGACAATGCCAGGCTAAAATGACTCAGCTAGCTACAACTCCTTTTTGAATTTTAGCGTGTTGTTATAGTAGATGTTTTAAAATGTATAAAATAGCTGTAACAGCAATAATGCCTGTAAAAGTTGCACATATCTATCTATTATGTTGCCCATGAATTTTTGATATACTCTGAAACTTTAAGGTGAGATCTAGCAGTTCTCTATATTCAGGCACCATTGTGGCATCTCGTTGGGGAGAGCAAGGCAGGCAGTGCTTGCCTTATGAAATCTAAAAATAGACACTAATGGAAAACAATGTGAGCAAGTCTCCTAGTATCTCAATGTTCTGTCCTAGAAGCTGCCCTCATTGTATCTTGTGGCTTTATTTTTCAACCTGATTGCTCATAGGGGGTTGTCTTACTAGCTGAAAGAATCTGAATAAAATTAGCATGTCAGAGGCTCAGGCATTCTGTTAGGAAATCTGAATCACAAACAAAAGAGTTTAGAAATACAAACTCTCTTCCAAGGTCCATAGCTACACAGTAAATATTTTTGGGGCTTCAAACAAAGGAATCCATTGTAAGTCAGGTAAATATGCTCAGGGGACTTCCAGTCAGAGAAAGAAAAACTGTAGACAAAGGTTTTAACTACTGAGTCATTAATACATTGAGCCCTTATTATTTTCACTTCTGGGTTGCTGCACACTTTCCCAAGACGAACCTACGGTAAAGACGACACAATGAGTGCATATTGTTACAGCATGCCTACAGTACGAGTCACAGAGCTACTGAAGAAAGAAAGTTAGGTGTTGTCAGTCATGTAGCAGACTTGTCCCTGCTTGTCTTGCTAATGACGGCCAGGTGGACCAGTGACCTTGTTTTGGTCAGGCAGCGTTCCCAGTGGAAAGCGTTGAGAAAGGCCCTCCTAAATGTATCACCTGAAAGAGTGTAGAGCACCAGGTTGAAAAAAGTGTTGAATCCAGCCAGAGGCCTGGAGATGATATACGCTGCATGCACGATGTTCTCTGCCGGACAAGTCGTGTTATGATATCTTGATTCTATCCGCAACACACGCAGGACGTGATATGGCATAAAACATACAACAAACACCACCAGGATCAGTACAGTCACACGCCGTGCTCGCATCCGACAGAGACTTGTTGTGTGTGGTCCGTTTGCCAGCTGTTTTGCTATCCCAGTGTAACACATAAACACCACCACAAGGGGAAGTAGAAATCCAAACGCAGTAAGTAGCCAGCCGTACAACCGCACAGTAGTGACGGGTTCGGTACTTGCAAAGTCTATGCACTTCTTGTTATCATTCACTGATATCATGGTCAACATGGGTGTTATTTCAGCGGCAGAGATGATCCAAACAGCTGAGCAGGCAATTATACCCCAGCGCTTCTGCTGTACCTGTGCTGCACTCAGTGGTTTAATCACCACTACATAACGAAAAACTGCCAGACATGTTAGAAAGAGGATGCTCCCATAAAGGTTCAAATGAAACCCAACGCGCACGACACGGCACATGAATTCGCAGAGAGGCCACTTATCCCATCTGCTGTAGTAGTAGACCAGGAACGGCAGGCTGAGGACGTAGAGGAGATCGGTCACCGCCAGGTTGACCAAGATGATGCTGCTGCTCTTCCAGGGACGCAGCTTTGCCAAGTAAATGCTGATCAATGTTACATTTCCAACCAAGCCCACAATGAAGATGAGACTATAAGCCACAGGCAGGTAGTAGAGTTTCATCACTTCATCCAAATCAGTACAGTTGGAATTGGTGGAATGGTTGACGGCCATAGTTCAGTCCTATTGAGAATGAGAAATGATTTTAATAACCACACTGAAAAATAAAAAAAACCCCCCAAAATAGAGTGTCCCTGCATTTATGAAAATGTAACTGAAGTGATTTAAAAGGAATTGGGGAGACACAATGTAGCAAAATTAGCAGTCCTATAAATTAATTAATTTTTAATTATTCAAAATTATTAATATTACAAGAAGGGCTGGTTAGAGTTTTCAAACAGACTTCAAATATTCACATTTAATGTTAGTGATGTTTTTGGTATAGCTGCTATTTCTGATCACTAAAATTTGGAAATCACACCGTGAGAAACATGGGACTGAACACAACATGAGTAGTGCAGGCCTTAACAAAAACAAACAGAAATATTAATATATTAAATATAATTGGCACAGATGTGCTGAACAAATGCCTTTTCTTTAACAACACCTCTATTCTTGTGTATTCTATTCATGACATATATGTTTTCTGAGCAATACAATAGGCAATACGCAAATCATTTCATTTTCCCCCAGCTGTCAGATCACAGCAAGCAGCAATTATTGCTCATGGAAGGAAGGCGAGAGCAGGACAACCAAAGAAACAAACAATCAAGGAAACTCGGTGGGAAAGAAGCAAGCAAAATCCTTCTTTGTCAACAGTCTGATTTCTGAAAGCCTCTCAGTATATGACAGTGCCTATGGCATCCTGTAATGCTGTCAGTACGATCTGTTCTCATTATGGATGTCAGGGGATGTGTGAGGTGTCACTTACACATCATAAACACTTGGTTTTCATGAGGCTGGAACTTGCACTCATTAAAATGATTACATTTTGAAAAAAACTTCAAACTGTAAATGATTATTTCAGTGTTACATCTCAGCATAAAGGTAACATTCGATTATATAAAAGGTTTTTACTCACTTCTACTGCCAGTATCCTCACCAGTATGCACTTCAGTCCTTTAGCATCTCGTCTCTATTTTCACTTCCATCCCACAGTCAAACCCTCTTTTATTCTTTCCTTTCACTGTTACACACCACAAGTGGGAAAGTCCAGAATATTTTTACTTGAAGTCCTGTGTTGTGTGCTTCAGCTTCAGCTTTGTGAAGTGCATACTTCCTGGTATCACACTTAAGCTGATAAAGCTCAAGCGTCAATTTGTCTATGTAGCTTAGGTTTCAGGTGGTGAGGTGAAGGAATGGAATGTCGGGGATCTAGCAACACAGGAAACAGTCCAGTGCTCATTTACAAGAATGAACTCAAGACTTTCTAATGAGGTCTTTATCATTTCTTGAAACGAGCATGTGAATACCTCAGCATGGCACTACAGAGCTAAATTTAGCACACGGTTTCTGATTAAAGGAACAAGAAGGTTTAGAAGCAGGAAATGAACACTTAATTATAATAGTGTGTTACCATTTTACTTTAACTTTCTACAAATTCGACCGTAAGTTTCAATCAAAAGTGTCACACTAAAACTTATATGATGTGAACTGTGCTTCAGTTGTGCACATCTGTGATCAACAAACTGCTGCTCACATAGTAAAATGCAGCATTTTCTAGAAGTCAGATATCAGTAACTAGTAATATAATTAGTTCTGTCCAGCAAATGTAATGTCCAGCAAAAAACTAATATTATATTTTACAGTGGTTCTGAGACTATTTTACTTTTCTAACATGTGTTTTTATTTTTTTTTGACTACTTGGCTTCTTGTGTTCCTTCTTCCTGATGTTGCTACCACTACTTACCTGAGGATAAAAACAGGAGAAAGGAGCAGCAAAGTGTGAATAAGGACAATTT